TGGGAACATTTGCTTTGGAGGCAGACGGATTGGATTCTGATCCTGACACTGCTACCTGTGTGACTTTGGGTAAGTCACCTCTCTGAGCCTCATTTTCCTCATGGGCAAAATGGGGACAAAATAGGGAGCAGTTGGCTCAGCACATGCTAAAGAACACACAGCACTCAAGTCAGGTAGACCTGAGTAAGTCCCAGCTCCAAAACACTTATGAGCTGGGTAACTCTGGTAAGTTTCTGAGCCTCAGTTTTCTCATCTGTAAAATGGGAATTACAGTTATTGCTTCACTGGGTGGTTGTGAGAATTAAAGGAGATGTATAGGCCAAGTGCTTAGAAGAGTGTCTAGCATTCTTAAATAGTAGGGCTAGGCTTATGATTGTAGGCATTGCCCCCCATCCCCATTTCTCTGTCTCTCTCTTTGTCTCTGTCTCTCACACACACACATACAACACACACACATACACACACACACACAGATATTCTTTGGCACTTCTCTGAGTCAGAATCTTGAGGTGTCTCCTGCCTCTCTTGCCAGGGCCACTTGTCTGCAGGCCTTGGGCCTCCCTCTTCAGTACACCTCACCTGGGATGCTCATTGTCCCAGGTGGGAAGGACACTAAGTGTCCAGGGCACCTTCACAGCCATTCTCCACCTGATCATCACAATGGTCGGGGGTGGCCAGTGGCAGAACGGAACCAGGCTGCTTTATAGATGGGATGCTGAGGCACTGAGAAGTTAAGGGACTTGCCCCAGGGAGCAGGACTCATGAGGGGTGGAGTTTGGAGACAAACCTGGGTCTAAGTGACCCCATTCCTCTCTTTTGAGAGAAAATTGTCCTTAAATACCACACACTTTGTCTTGGGCACCGCTGAGGGGCCCTTTCCCATCAGGTGCCAGGGCAGAGTTCTCACGTGCTGCAGGGACAGTCCCTTCTGGATGTGCAGATGCCCACCTTAGGAGTAGGGTGGGGTTTGGCAGAGTAGGGGGAAATAAGGGCCCCTTTGGGCATCTCTGCCTTCAGGCTCAGAACCCAACCTGGCCCCTTCCTGTCCTCACTTTGCACTCTCTGCCCCCGCTTTGCCGTTGGTTCACTAGGTCTTTAGTAAGCACCTGCTTCATAGGTCCCTGTTCCCACAGAATAAGAAATAAATGATCAGGAAGTGATAAATGTGAGGACAACAATAAAACATGTGAAGAGTTGGGGAAGAGCATTCCAGGCAGAGGGAACCACAAGAGGGCAAAGGCCCTGAGGCAGGAATGCACTTGCCTTGTCTGAGGGACAGCGAAGAAGCTCGAATTTGGTGTGTGGTGAGGGGAGGGAGAATGGTAGCTGCAATCAGACAAGACGATGTAAAGCTGGGGTTTTATTGGGGATTTTCAAACACTAGGGATTCATGATTTGATATATGATCATAAAATATCACTCTGCTGGCCACGTGTAGGACAGATTATAAGGAGTCAGGATGGAAACAAGGAAACAAGCGGGGTGGCTGTTGCTGTGGTCAAGGCTCAGGATCATGCTGGTGCCTCAGTCTGTGGCGGTGATGGAGGAAGGAGGTGGGCAGAGCTAGGGTCTGTATTTCAGGGAAAGCGGTCAGAACCCACTGATGGTGGAAGGAATGCAGCAGGCAGGTGAAGGGAGAGTCAGGGAGAACTGTTCTTGCCAGCATGATCATGTCACCGAGATTCCTGAGGTCAGTTCTCTGTGCTACCCCTGCCTGCCCTGTGCTGTGAGATGGGTTTTGGAGGAGAGCGGAGCCCCCTCTGCCCTAGGGGCATTCCCCATAGGAGGGGATGGGGCAAACCTCAGAGTGCTTGGTGCTGTGCTTGCTGGAAGCTCAGGGGCTCTGGGAGGACTGGAGGACATAGCCCAGACTTGGGAAACCACAGAATGCTTCTTGGAGGAGGTGATATCTAAGCTGAGACCCGAAGGATGAGGAGGTTTCAGCAGAAGAGGAGAGGGGAGGAAGTGAAGGTTCGGGGTCGTGAAGAGGGGCTCAGAGAACTGAGGGAAATATGAGGCGTCTGGTTTCCGGACACTGAGAGAAGGGACAGTGGGAAATGAGGCAGGAGAGAAGAGCTGGCAGACAGGGCACACTCCCCTGAGGGCCTTGCAGCCCCCACCGAGGGGTTTTCACTTGCTTCTGAGTATGCTGACTTTCATATGGGTGGTGACGTTCTGCTTTTTCAGCAGCAGAACAAAATTTCCTGTGAACGCAGCCTGCGATGCAGGTGAGATCGTAGGGCAGCTGTGGGGGCAGGGCCTGTGGCCCCGAGGGGACCAGGGAGTGGGGCGTACATGACACTGCAGTGGCCCCTCAGAGCAGCCGTCTTCACTTAAAATTCACCACTAGTGGGTTCCAGCCCTCAAAGGCCCTGTAAATGCCACTTCTCCTAAGGCACCCTTCAGAGTCACAGTTTGGCACCCATTTACTGAGCACCACTGTGGGAGACCTTACAGTGTAGAGGTTAAGGGCACAGACCCAGGAGCCGGACTTGCCTGGGCCTGCCACTTATTAGTGGTGTGACCTTGGGCATATTGCTTAACCTCTCTGAGCCTTAGTTTTCCCTTTGTAAAATGAGACTGGTAATAATGGAACCAAGAAGTTGAGTTATTGTGAGGATTAAAAGAGTTAACACCTAAGTGTCAAGAAGAGTGCCTGCTAGATAATAAGGCTGTGTAAGTGGCACTTCCACAGAGTGCCAGGGTACTGCAAAAAGTTCATGCAAAGATTTGTATTATCTTTTAATTCTGTTTTTCCACAAACTTTTTGAAGTACCCTTGTATATCTCATTTGATCCTCAACAGAACTTGGCAAAACTTTCATTAACCTCAGAAGAGAAAACTGAGGCTAAGAGAGGTGAAGTGACTTGTAAAAGGTTACACAGCAGTTCAGTAGAGGAGACAAGAGGGAGCAGTCAGATGTGGGGGACTCTGAGTCCAGTGCTCTTAGAGGGTTTTATGTGTCCTTACTCATTAATATTCTGTGTACATATTATGGTCATTTCTGTGCATTTTTTATGTCACCAGTTCCCAGCACAGAGCCAGACATGAGGAGGCATTCAGTAAAGGTGTGACTGAATAAATGAATGAATGAATGAAATCGATGGGTTGATTTGTGTTGCCCAGCATTTGGCTCTGTTCCTCAGTGAGGGAGGGAGGGAGCCCCCAGCAGCACTGGTATTCAACTCTGCTGAGGGCCTCTTGGTTCCCTCAACCCCACCCCTAGCTGTTTGTAGAGCGAAGGGCTGGCCCAGCAGGCCTGGGTGCCCCTGAGCAACTGGTGGTTTGGTGGCTTCAGTGAAAGTATAGGGCTGGCGGCCCTCTCCTGGGGAAGTCCACGGGAACAGTGCTGGGGGCAGGGCAGGCCTCCTGGCAGGGCTTCCTGTCAAGGCCCCAGGCCCAGCCCTTGAACAATGGCAAGGGCTCAAAATCAAAAGAAAAAGAGCAAAATCAAAGTGGGGGGGGGGGGGGGGGGGGGGAGAGGCGTAGAATAAG